CTCTAGACACCACTACCACAAACTGACCATCTCTAATACACTGGAGGGTCACTGGAACGAGGCACAAGAGCAAATTAATACTGAGAGCCAATTCAACATGATCGGAATAATATTGAGAAAGCTTACCTGCCCTCCCATAGTAACACTGCTGTCTTTCAAAGCAGCAGTTGATAGTTTCACACTCAGCACTACTGATCCCAGGTTGTCCACATTGGATCTGCTCATAATCAGCTACAGCACATTTATCAAGGAGCTCTGTCTGCGCCACTGGCTTCTGAAGCTGAAACTGCTGAGGAAACTGCTGGTTAGTTTGTTGTTGAACTGGCTGCTGAAACCGCTGGTCAGTTTGCTGGATCATCAGAGTTTGAGGGTTCTGGAGCAGATTACTCCACTTTGGAACAGCATGACAGACGGCACAAACTGCCAAAATCTGAACCAAACACAAACTTCCAGCCATTGTTCAACAGCTAATCACAAAGTAGAAATACAGCCTTTTGGTCTTTTTGTACTCTACAGGTTAACTAATAGCTACAGCTAATTAATGATAGCTCCTCCCTCTTCATTAACTGTAATGATTCTCCAGACTTGCACAAGTGGGAGTTTATGTATCATTGGTTCTCAAAATTCAAGTCTTTTTTCTTATTTTGAACATGGATATAGACACAAATTTAAGATTAATTCAGAAATTCTTACTGACTTTACCATTTCTGTCATCTAATCATTTATGGAAGAATTAGTATGGTAGCATGCAGTCCAGATTCAGCCTGGGCCTTATCCTTTGTACTACACTGGTTGAATAGAATTATTGACACTTTAACAGTGGGGAATGAAACTGGGGGAATGAAATGCATTATACAGTTAAAAGAACTTGACTTCACGTTCAAAAGCACTCATCAGGCAGTATTACTTTTCCAAATAATGTTGGAGTAACAGTTATTAACAGAGGACCTCTGCCATACATGGTTTCAGATGTGATTGGCAAAATATCTAAATATGGCTAAACAAGCATACCATTACAGTTAGAAAAAAAAAACTGAGTGAAGTACATCAATTATATTTAAATGAAAATCTGTTGAAATGGAAACAAGAAAAAAAAATGTAAACAAATGCAAAAGGTAAATTCTTCAAATGAAACTTTCTGTGCACCAGCTTTGATTTCTTTTGGCTCTTGAAAAAAAGGGGCTTTGGCCTAGCTTTCTAAAACCAGTTTGGGAAGACTTGTATTAAAAGTTACTGCTATAATCTAAATATTTTATTCAATTATTTAAATTTTCACATAGCATATGGTATTACCAGTTTACTCTAGAAAATGCATTACTGGGACAAGTATCGTCATCAAACTAATTTAACCCAAAAATAGTGCAGCCCTTAGATCCAATTTTCTTCATTTTAAATGCTTTAGAAAAACCTTAAACCCTTAAAGAGCTTTCCATTCAAATTGAAAGGAGCTTTACTGCTGAAGAGAGATTTCAAATAGCCTCAACTATATGGCCCAAGTGAAACTGTTTGTGGGATTACAAAGTCCATAGAATAAGTAAAGCACACCTTTGTAAATATAAAGCTGTTGGTGGAATGGCACTTCCAAATTTTGCCCTTTACTACTATGCTTGTGCTTCTCAGACTATCATAATGTGGCTAGATCATACTGTAGCACACTCAACTTAGATCCAAATGGAAAGAGAGGCATGTAGACCATATGATATTGGTGTAGTCATACGGTCTCCTATAAAGATAGACAAGTCAGTATATAACCATAACTGTATAATTCATAGTACAATTCATATTTGGAAGCAGATCAAATCAAAATGTGCAATAAAGCCATTGTCTTTCCTTTTACCAATCAGCGGGAACCCTTAATTTATCCCTTCTACAATGGATGCTGCTTTTACAAAGTGGAGGGACTTGGGTCTTCAGACTATTGGAAACCTATTCATAAAAGGCACTTTTGCCTCCTTTAGACAGCTGCAGAATCAATATGTATTGCATGCAAGTAACTTTTTTGGATATTTGCAGATTATGCCGAGTTCACACTGCACGATTCAAACTTGTCGGATCGCCGTTGTTTTCACACTGCGTGACTATCTGGGGTAGCATTCAGTTGCTGCTGTGTTCACATTGCACGATGGATCGGCGACAGGGGTTTCACACTGCATGACTTCACAATAGGAAGATTCGCCGACAGCTCTGTCTGGTCCGCAAACTACGTTTCACAACAAAACACACGTGAGAAGTGATAAGGAAATAACGCGAGAACCCGCGTGC